CATCGAGCGCCGAGAGATGCCGGCGGCCGGTTGAAAAAGAGCGAAACCGCGGAAAGGATCGTCGGCCGATCGAGTAGAAAGTAAGAAGCCGGGAATGTCGTTGGTCAAAGCTCTTTCTATCGGCGAACGCGAAGAGATCAACGTTTAAGCCGACCGTTTATCATTATTATTGTCGGGCTTAGCATGCGCCGTTGCGCCGATTCGCCGGTTCGAATAATAATTTATGAAAAGTAAAAGTATCCGAGACTTTCTGCGCCATAGGTTTTATTACATTCATCGGAATACGCGTACACGAGCTTCCAGATATGGAGTAGATCCAAGTATACAGTGTTACATTTTACAGAAACGTATCTATCTGCGCATTCTACGCGCCACGATACGCCGTAAGCGTACGGACATTCGCGATCCAGTTATAATTACTGCCCCGCGTTACGTGTGTCCATGCAAATGAGTAAACACCCATACAGTGTAACGCGGAAGATAATCGATATGCAAAGTAGCCGTTTAATCGTCCATAACTTAGATAAAAAAGACGAACGTCAGTCGCCGGCGTCATTTCGATAAATACCATAAAGGGTCCGGGAAATTGGAAGGCGTAATTACCCGGAACGCGATGCAACTTCTGATCCTGTTCGATTTTACTTATCGGAAACGCTCGAACCACCCCGTCGACCTAACGGGTTGCGAACCACCTCCGAGGGGTTTGAATAAAACAATTATTCCCGTCGCCGGGAGAGTCGCGGGGGAAACGTTCGATCGAGCGTTCCCGAGCGCGGTCGAGCGGAGGTCGAAGGTTACCGCTCCGGAATGGGTCGCAGTTTTGTCTCTTCTTTTCTCCGCCCGTTTCCTCGAGAGCGGCCGCAACGGTCTCGGTCGCCGGCCATGAAACCGGTTACGTTCCCCGCGCGAGACGAAGTCTCGTAGAACTTCTCCTAGACTTTAGACGAGGAAAGGAACGAGGAACAGGGGGGAAAAAAGGAAGGAAACGTTCCGGAGCGAGGTCGTCCCTGTTCGTAATCCAGAAGGCCATTCGAGAGGCGCTGCTCGTTAAATTGCATAAGCTTAACGAGCGGCGCGCATCGAATGGCGCTTCGATGAGAGCCGAGTTCACGCGACACGCGATGGATCGCCGTTGAACGCTTCGAACTTGAACTTTTTCTTTCTCCCGCCGTGGAGACACATCGAGTGTCATCGACGGGCTGGGGTTGTCCGTTTATTCAGCGAACGCTCGGGGAACGTTTCTGCGACGAATCGAGTCTTTCGTAGTTAACCCTTTGCACTCGAAGTTTTTCAGTTGAAATATTCAATACTCTCTAGGTAGATGTAGACAAGATTTAAATTTTGATTTATTAAGAAGTCACATGTAAATTAGGGAACAAAGCTTTCAATGTTTCACGTTGATGCTGGATAAAGTTGAATGGTAAATACAAGTTTATCATTTTTCTGTATCAAATCAACCTCGAAAGAGGTTTAGAGGGCAGGATAACGAAAGGGACACGTAAAGTGTAAAAATGTCTAAAACGTGCGGGCAACATGGCATCGCCGTATCTTGTTTCCCGCATTAGCATGGCAATCTTCCCCATTGTCGTCATTTCGCGAATCCGCTATCACACGTATTCTACTTAAAAGCGCGAAGTACTCGCGATAATTCCGAACAAGCCTTGTACACGTGTGTGTTCGTAAAGGAATTCCTGTGAAGTGAGTTTAAACTTTATATCTCGAGATCGGTTTAATTGGCGGAATGCCCTTGGATATTTGGGTGAAACCGTGGAGGGTCGCAGAAGGGGTAGCCCCTAGCAATCGAGTTTCCCATGAATACTTTAACTGCGCCGCCCGAACTCGAGTGACGCCATTTTTCAATTAATACCAATTCTCTGCGAATCAATTCCGTTTCTCTATTTATATAACGTTGGAATCGAGACGCGAAGCATCCATTGTCCCGAAGAAACTTCACAATATCCCCATAATGTACACAGAACCACCATAAGCTAGTTCTATACCTTACAACTTTGTCTGAAGTACTTTGCATCACTGATACTTTTCAACTTGCACCCGGAAGACTCAGTCACTAGGCACATGAAAACTATAAAATCTGATATTTAACCCTTTGCACTCCGTTGACATTGTAAGATAAGTTTATAACTTCATTTTTCAAACATAACTTTAAAATACACGCGCTTTTTTAATGACAAAGCAGGGTCTTAAATCTGTCACAGAGCTCATATTAAAACTGATTCGGAGTTGCTGAAAGGTTATATTAAAAATTGCTCAGAGTGCAAAGGGTTAATGTCGACACGTGAAATATTAGAATGAAATAGCTTTGTTCATTGTACTTGTGATTTCCCTTCGAGCCACCAAAGAATATCATCCTCGCCTCGTCGGAAACTGTTAAATATTTCCAGCGAGAAACTTCCGAGTGCAAAGGGCTAAGTTTCGTCGAGAAATCGGCCGTACCGTGCGACGAGTTGAGCTGGCAGAGTTAGTAGAGTTAGCTCGCGCAGCGGTATGATTGCGCGTCGCGCTAATGGCTCGTTATCGCCGCGAAGAGCGAGCGCCAACCCTCTCCGCGATTAGGGGCCGTCGATATTCGCACGACCCACTTTCATCGTTCAGCCGTGCCTACCCTTGATATTGTCCGTTTACATTAGAACTCGGGATTTACGTCGGCCCGATGACTGTTATCGATCACGAACGGAATCCTCTGCTCGCATCGCGTGTGCACGTGACCCCACGTGCTCGCCTTCCGCGACCCTATCGATGATGCACGATCGAGTCGCGACGCTCCCTTGCACCGCCCGACCAAGAACTTCGCTGCCCATTCAAATTCTAATCGAATCGTGTACAGGTTTCCCGACGATTTCAGTCGATTCGACGATCTCATTCCAATTCTAGCTGTCTGTAACGCATATTGTTTGAATGTACTAATATCCTTTTTGTGGACTATCGACTAGTAAATAAATGTTGTTTCATGTATATTTGATGTTGGAAGTAAATGTTCGATTTCATTCAATTGAAAGTATCTCTATTTGAAATTAGACTCCGCAA